AACACAGATGAAAACTGAGCCAGGAGATTTTTCCAGAATACAGTGCATAGGAACAAAGAAATGAAAAGTATAAGAGACACATCAAGAGACATGGAAGATGGATCCAGAAATTTAAATACCCACATGCTAGCACTTCTTCATGGATAAAACAAGATAGTGGAAGGGAAGGAATGAAGAAGTAAATGTTATCAGACCTCAGAAAGGACACCAGTCTTCAGGCCCCTAGGTCTTACCACGTGCACAGATGGTTTTACTTTCACAAAGTCCTTTACCTGCATGCATTACGGTGAAACTGTGATCTTATCATTCAGAGAAAATCCTAAATGCATTCAGAGAAAAAAGAAACTGAGTACCTACAAAGAAGTGAGATCAAATCCACAACAATGGATGTTATAAGACAATCCCTTGAGAATTCTGAGGGAAAATTGTCTTGATCCTAGAATTTTATACCAAGCCTCAGTAGCACTCAACCTCGAGGGCTAAATGAAACACTTTTGCTTTGCACAACTGCAAAATTTCTGTGTCTAGATATGTAAACTATTTTTGAATTATTTGAAGATGTGCTTTGGCAAAATAAAAATTAGTCAAGAAGGAGGAGAAAATAAAACAAATCTCAGTAAACATTGGTGGAAAAAAACCAACAACAGTCCTACTAAATTCCCAGGTGACCTCAACATGTGAAGGACGCAGGTGAAAGAGAAACTGAATTATGTTAAGGTAGGGTACGGAGTTAGAGAGAAAAAGATAGAGATATTTGCTAGTTACATGGTTTTTTGAAATAGAAATTCAAATAATATAACAGGAACAACTCTATGAAACAACCAGAATTACTCAGTGAAATATATGTAGCACTACATTTCCATTACGGCCAGTTTAAGTAGGCCCATCAGAAAATGGTCCTTCTATATTTAGAATCTTTAATATCAATTTGGAAAGGGGCTATTGGAAATATTTACTCAACAGTTATTTTGGGGCCAAACTCTGTTTTAAGTATAGTTGCTTTCCTCTTCTTCATCTCACCAGAGGCAGGAGACACAGAGGAGTGTTCTGTAGATAAGACAGAACGTGAAAACACAAAATCCAAAAAATGCTGGCAACACAGGACACTGCAGAGCAGTGATTTTCAATCGGTGTGCTGCGAGAATCTTTAAAACATGCAATACCTGACCAATACCCGAGCTCTTTTCCCTTAGATTGTCAAAGTTAAAAAAAAAATGACAATAGCTAACACAATATTTTTGGTGTGCTGCAGAATATTAGTAATTAGTTTATGTGTGCCATGGGATGAAAAGGGTTGAAAATCGCTGTAGACTATTGGTTATTTATCCTTGTGATCACCTGTCTGAATGGGATCTGGGGCTTGCTGCAATGCTGAACCAATTACTTAATTTTTCTAAGCTTCAGTTTCAACAACCATAGAATGGGAATAACAATAGTACCTACCTCATTGGGTGGTTGTGAAGATTGAGATATCCTATGTATATCACTCAATTTCCTGTTATTTCAAACAATAATAATGTGTCTTGGGAGCACATAGATCATTTCTAGTTGTGGAGATCAGGGAACACTTCCTTGGAGAGAGAATATTTGAACTAGGTTGTGAAGAACGAATAAAATGTTTAATATGTAGAAATGGAAAAAGAGGTCTATTCAGGCTGAGCTAACAGCGTTAGCAAATGCATGGAGGCAGGAAATTAAATTGGGTCAGGTCATATAATACATTAAAGGAAATATTAGCAAATAAAGCTTGAACAGTGCTTTGATTTTATATTTTGGCAAAATAAGTGAAAAAAAATTATGAGCCCCGACAGACAGAATTTCTTAGATTTCCTCCTTAATTTTGCTACCCCGTGCCCCATTGAATAGAACTGAATAGCACAGAAGTCACCTGTTTCATGTGTTGGTAAGCTAGCCCAAAGTTTGTACCCATTTGCTTTTCTCTGGCCTTGTCTCCATTCTAGAGGCTACAAAAAGCCTTGGTTTCCCAGTCTCCCTCATAGCCAGTGGTGACCTTACTATTTCATAGTCTTACTAATCCTATATAATAAAAGGTTAATATAAAAATTGTCCTCTCAACTGGGAGTTCAACCAGGTGGGCAGGGGCCAGCCAGCCAACCTCCCATGTCCCCTCTCCTCTCCTCCCCCGCTGGCCAGGCCCAATCTGCCCCGATTGGGGCAGGACCCCACTGGTGCATGAATTCATGCACTGGGCCTCTAGTGAACTATGAGGAAATCTGTTGAGGGGTTTCTGGGAGAGTTTTGCTTTGTAATGAAAAGGACAAATACCCTGGGAGCATTTTTTTCTCTCTACTTCATTCCATGTCTGGAGTGGCAGCAGCCATCTTGTGACCATGAAGGTATGAAGCAGAGGACCCTAATCTCCAGACACTTTATTGTGAGAAAATGAATTCCTCTCCACCATTAGCCACACTACTAGCATCTGTTCTTGCAGTCCAAATCATTCCTAGCTCACACAATGGGGGATAGCTAGCTTTGAGTTTTAAAGAATAAAATAGAACTAGCTTTTACTCAGGCAGAGTTATTTTTTTAATATATTATTATTGATTTTTTACAGAGAGGAAGGGAGAGGGATAGAGAGTTAGAAACATCGATGAGAGAGAAACATCGATCAGCTGCCTCCTGCACACCTCCCACTGGGGATGTGCCCACAACCAAGGTACATGCCCTTGACTGGGATCGAACCTGGGACTGTTCAGTCTGCAGGCCAACGCTCTATCCACTGAGCCACACCGGTCAGGGCAGGCAGAGTTATTTTATCAGTCTCAAGTCAGTGCCCAGTCCCTATGTGAAACCTAATTTAGTGTTTGGCTGAGGTCAGTCTAGAACTGGCAAAGTCTGTAATTGGGCTGTGACAACTACATACCAGAGACAGATGAGTTTAGTGTTCAGTGCCACTATTCATCAATACAGGTTTCTGCATGTTCTGTTGTCAAAGAGAAAAGGCTTTGACATAAATAATGGCTTATAATTTCAGAGTAATTGAATGCAACATCCATAAAGAGAAAATAACGGACTGATATGGAAATCCAGCATGACATAACTGTTACTTTGCTGCCAAAAATAAGGCAATGTAGTCTAAATTTTCTGCTGTGAAAGGAATGGTAATACGACGATTCCAGGAAATGATACAAGCTCAACCTGATATCAGATTTCAAGGTAAAGATTCATCCACATGCATTTTTTTTCTAAAGTCTCTAGTAGTACCTTGTCACAAAACATGGATGGATGGCTTTGTGGACCTTCTCAACAAGGTTGTCAGACGCTCTCCATGTTGTTGCTACCACTGACCATGTGAGGCTAGTAGCAGGAGATAAATCATGGTGTTGTGATCCTTTTGTGTGATGACAAGTCACTCCCAGCTAAAGCAAGTTTAACTTCAGTACCGAGGGAACCAAGATGGCGGCATGAGGTATAAACCTGTACGTGCTGCCCCCCACAACAACATTAAAACTACAACTATAAGACAAAGCAGCTATCATCCAGAACCATGGAAAAGCTGGCCGAGTGGAAGTTCTACAACTGGAAGGAAAGAAAAAAGCGCATTGAGACCGGGTAGGAGGTGCAGAGGCGCCAAGAACAGGTACAAAGGCGTGCGTGAGGTGGGCTGCACCTGGGTGCGCGGTTTTTTTCAATCGGAGGGGGATACAAGCTCTCGAATTCACCGAACTCATTTATGGCGAGACTCTGGGGTCCCAGACGCCGATGGGGAGAAATTGGACTGACTTGCAGCAGTTTGGGAAGTGAGGGTGGCTTTCTCACAGAGCTGTTTGCAGGGATCATTGTTACTGTGGGGGCGCCGGACTTGGGGATGCAGAGGTACTCAGGGACGCAGAGGGATTCAGGATGCAGAGACGCGGAGTCACGGAGACTGCTGACAACAGCCATTGCTGTTGCTCCGCCCTGGTGATTCTCTGAGACCCCGCCCCACTCAATTTACATCCCCACCCAAGCTGTGCCCAATGGCACAAAGGAATCACCTGTGCTTTTGCAGCCTAACCTAACAAACTGCAGCTGTGTCGGAAAGCTCCAAAACTTCCAAACCCCAAGCAAAAGAGGAGAAATCTGCTGATATCACAGTGATTGACTTGGAGATCCAGGAGCCAGGGTACCCCTGGTCAGACACCAGAATTCAACTCCTCACATCCAAAAGGGACACACTCAAGAAGCAGACTCAGTGAGCACCAAAGCTCCACTGGAGCAAGTCCTGCCCCATAAGGGTTCTCCAGCACAGCAGTTCTTCCACTGTAGACAGTGAGTCTCCTCCCTGTCAGCCAAAAATGCAGATACAAAGAAACATATCACAAATGAAAGAAATGAAGGAGAGATCAGAAAAAGAACGAAATGGAATCGAAACAAGCGGATACTAGATACAGAGTTCAAAGCAATGGTTATGAGGTTGCTCAAGAGTCTTTAATGAGAGCTTCAAGGGACTTAGTGAGACTTTCAAGGATTTAATGACAACATCAAAGACATAAAAAAGGACCTGAAACTGTCAGAAATTAGGCACACACTAACTGAGGCCAAGAATAATTTTGGGAG